TGCCTTGCCTGGCAAGGTGCCGGTCTACCCGTGGCGGGACGGGTCTACCCCGTTATTTGTTTCAAGCTCGTCCGTGTCCATCTCTCTATCGTCGGTCTAGTAATTTATCTGGAATCTGGCTTCATCGGCGCGGGGCGGTGCGGGATATGGTCGATCTTGTCGGCGGTTGGGTCGAGATTGCCGAGGACCGTTTGGTAGATCGTATTTCACGCAATTACGAATCGCAATCAGGGGGGATCGGTCGAGATCGCCGCTAGTTTGACGTCGCGTGGCATCGAGGGTCGTGGAGGGCTGGTGGACTGGTTCGGTTGGTGCACCACGCGCCACCGACAACGCAGGCCAGCGCGTACGTGTTGGGGCGAACGTGCGAGGTGTGCGTAAAGGCTGGTCTACAATACATGAAGTAAGGAGTAGGAGTAAGGAAATAAATCCATTTTATTTCTCACTCCTACTTCAGCTCTTAGGCTTACTCTCGGTGAATCAAAATGCCATCAATCAGTGTTACAATTATTTTAACAATCATGCCCGTATTTCAGCTTCCTTACACCAAAAGCTAGAAGTTAGGGCTCTCCCTTACTCCTTACTCCACGCTTACTCCACGTATTGTAGACCACGCATAATAGGCGGTAGGTGATTATCGACGCGGATTAACGCGAGTTTACGCGCCCGTTGCTCGCCGACGCGCCAGTCGCGGGGCATTTCGTCCGGAGATATGCAGAAGATGGGCAAACTCAACTCGTCGATCGATATCATCCCGCTGCAAGGATCGAGTGGAGATTTCAGATCGAGGCAGGTGGAGAATAAGCACAGGATGGAGCAGAGATCGTTCCGGGACCAGTCGTTGATCGGCCGCGTGCAAACGGTAATGTAGAGGTTACTCATCTGCATTGTCCCCGGGCCCGAGCAGAATGGCTGTCTTGTGCTCCCAATGTTTTACGCTTTTAAATCTCCGTCTTGAAGTAACGCACAATAACAGGGCACCTCGTGACTCGAGCATGCAAGACAGCTACTCTAGACAGCTACACCTCGACGCGATAAAATGTACGGCGTGTGTCTTGACTCTACACCTTTATGCTTCGCAGTACATGCATGAGAATGAAAACAAGGTTTATATCGATGTTAACGAGATGGCAGATTCATTGCAGAGGCGATACAGGGACTATCGTGCTAAGAAACGCGGTGCATTCCGCGCGATGGTACGGAAGGCGTACGACGAGCTTACCGAGATATTTTCCAAGAAGCCAGTCGTACGTCAGTGTACGTCCACCTACGACGACGACGACGACGACGACGACGATGATTTTGAGGACGTCGATGTCGAGGTATTTCGATTGTCACATTCGGCATTATCGAGGGGGGAAACTGCATTGCGGTGTACAGATTTGCGGAATTACTGGGCAATTCTAGGCAGTTTTGGGGCATTTGGCATTGCTGGGACATTATAAAGATAAAA